ACCTTTCTAAAGGCAGAGAAGCCTCTTCCCACAGCCACTACCACCCCAGGCCGTGAGAAGTATTGGCAGACTACCTCCAATGTTCCCTTAAGGCCCAAAGTCTCTTAGGTGTGTTGTGAATGCCGCCTGGCCCGGGACTCGTCCTTCAGAGCAGTGGGCTTCCCTCTGGCCCAGGGCAGGTCCAAAAATGTCATCCAAGAGTCAAGTCCTAGAATCAAAGACCTCAGGATCACACTTGGTCCCTTCCTCCCCTTGTTGGTGCCCAAAGTGCGGGAAAAAAATGTCCCCTTTACTTTTCCCTCAGCTTTTCTCAAGTAGAAGGAATTTTGCCCCCTAGCTACCATGGCTGGTTATGTACTGAGTCTCACCTGAAGTCAGCAAATCTCAGAGGCTCACCAAGGCCTTCGATATAGTACCTGGGCATCACTGCCGGTTGTTCAGGGCCCAAGGGTTCTTCAGTTAGCAGGTGATAAATGCTGCCAGTAGTGGGTCCTTTCCTGCAAGGCAGCAGGTTCCGTTCCCTTCTGGCCCAGCGTGTATCTAGAAATGTCATCTGGGAGGTAGTGTCTGGAACAGAGGCCTCACTACTCTGATCAGTCCCTTATTCTGCTGTGGCTGGGCTGGGATCCTACATGCAAAACAAAGTCCTCCCCACTCTTCCCTCTGTTCTCCTCAAGTGAAAGGAAAGGGTCTCTTCTGGAGACATGAGCTGTGCCACCTGAGGTTAGGGAAGGAGTGATGCCAGAACTCCCTTGGCTGCCCCAGCTGGTTTATCAGTATGCCGTGTGCCCTTTCAGTCCATTGTCTATGGGCCTAACTCAACACAAGGACTTTCCTGAGCGTTTATGACCTAGACTGCCTTTCAAGTTTACCTGGAGGCACAGACTGCTATAGCCTGTAGCCCATGTTGGTGAGATCTGCAGGAATTCAGATTCCCACTAGGGCTGGTTTAAATGTTCCCTCTGTGGGCAGGATGAGTGTGGTCCGGTTTTCCTTTCTGCTGTAACAGGACAGCACTGAATTCATTGCTTTACAATTGCTGTGTTCTCCCTCTCTCAGTGCTCAGAGGCTGCTGCTTCCTGGTGTGAGGAAGGGGTGGCATTTGTGATTCAGGGCTGTTTTTAAATCACTTCAGTACCTCTTTTACCAATATGTAGTTAAAACCAGGCACTATGAGTTCTCACCTGATTTTTGGTTGCTATGAAGATCTTTTTTCTGTATACATATCTTAACTCAGTGTCCTTGCTGGGGAGGCAGGGGAATGATTGGTTTCTGTTTGGCCATCTTGCTCCACCCTCTCTCTGATATTTAGAGTTGGTTTGGGTGTTTGGTATGAGAGGCTTGTGAGACATTGAAGTGGGGATATTGGTCCTGAAGCTATGATGAGACCGCCAGGCTAAAGATATAAACTGTGCAATTCATACCATATAGGTAGTATTTAACGCCACAGAAATGGATGAGATCATATGGGGTGAGAGCACTACAAAAAAGAGGCAGCAGTTATTAAATACTGAGAAATCTTGAATATTTAAAGGATGATTAGAAGAAGAAGAGACAAAAAAGTAGACTGTAAAAAAATTGCTGGAGAGGTAAGAGGAAACTAGGATAGAGTGGTGTCATGTATGTTATAACAATAGAATTCCAAGCCCAGTTTCAAAAAAGAGAGGATAGGCCATGGTATTGAATGCTGCTGAGAAGTCAAATAACTGAATACCAGAAAAGTGTCTGATATGGTTTGGCTCTGTGAACCCACCCAAATCTCATCTTGAATCGTAATCCTCACGTGTTGAGGGAAGGGCCTAGTGGGAGGTGATCGGATCATGGGGGCAGTTTTCCCCATGCTGTTCTTGTGATAGTGAGTTCTCATGAGATCTGATGATTTAAAAGTGTGGCACCTCCTCTCTTCTCTCTCTTTCTCTTTCTCTCTGTCTCCTACAGCCTCGTAAGGAAGGTACTTGCTTCTTCTTCACCTTCTGCCATGATCGTAAGTTTCCTGAGGCCTCCCAGGCCATGTGAAACTGAGAGTCAATTAAACCTCTTTCCTTTATAAATTACCCTATCTTGGGGAGTTCTTTATAGCAGTGTGAAAATGGACTAATACAGTGTCTTTTGAATTTAGCATCATGCAGGTGATTGGTGAGCTTGACAAGACTTATTTCAGAGGAGTGTTGATGGCAGAAGTTAGGTTGGTGTGGGCTAAAGGGAAAATGAGGACTTCCACTTTTAGCAAATCAGTAACTAGATATTCCATAGGGCCCAACTGCTACAAAACAAATAGATTCTCAATATAACATTCTTTGAATGTTTTGTTGGGGTTTCAGAAAATAAAGGAAATTTCCAAGCCACCCCTTCATATCTGTTTCTCCAAAACAGGGAGATCTGAGTAGTAAGCAAATAAAATTTGGAAAATATGCTTTGAGCAAAACATAAGGTAGAAAAACTCAAGCCAAAACTCTTACAATAAACCAAAGTAGTCCTAGGTTAGGGGGGTTCTCTATTTCTCTAGCAGAAGCATTTAAATATGCCCTCATTGGGCAAAGAATACCCTATTTAGACTCCTAGGTTTACATAGACTATGACCAAACACATGTGAATTTACAATAAGAAATTACAAAAGATGTAAAGAAATAAACTGTCATGAGAATCAACAGAATAGGTTTAGATCCCCAATACTTCAGGTTGTGATTATTAGATGATAAAATAACAATGATAAAAAATGAAAATAGAATCACAAAAAGCCTGCCATATGAGATTATTAAAAGGTAAACAGATTAGGAGAAAAAAAGCCAATTAAGACTTTTAAAAAAATCACTGAAATTTAAAACTCAATTGATAGCTTAAACCTCAGATCAGACAGAATTACCAAGACTATACCAACACTACTTAGGGTTACAGGCAATATTGATGACATAAGACATCTCAAGCAGTGTTTATAAGACAAAGTTGTATTCCTCTCCTATATTAACAGGACAAGCTATGCAGGTGGGCTCTGTTTTGCCATTCTGTACATATGACTTCATCTTTGGGTCTACAGCAATTGTCCCAGTCATCTTCAGGCATCTGATTCAAGGTAGTGGCAAACTAGCAGCAAATTAACTTTCCAGCCCATTAAAAGGGAGAAGCAGAGCATTAAGGGAAAATCATTTCAGATTTCTAGAAAATGAATAGTAAGTTGTACATATCACTTCTGTTTATATAAGAGTAACCAAAACCTAGCATTATGGCCACATGTAACTGTAGGAGAAACTGGGAAATTTACTCTCTGAGTGGCCGTTTTCAGCTAAAACCTGGTGGTAAGCTAAAATGAAGATGGGGAAATTTATCTTGGGAAATAACAGCAGTTTCCAGAGCAAAATAGAATGATATGGAGATAGAAACTGGAAGAGAGAGGTTACATGATTTGAGTAGTGTGAGAAGATCTGCTATAGGCCTGATCAAAGTGACAGGAATGATTTTAAAAAATGGAAGAAAGGAAATATTGGGGAAAAAATGGCTGGAAATTTTTCAGAATGAAGCAAAACGCACATCCACACATAAATGAAACACAACATAAAACAAGCAAGAAAAACAGAAATTTACAATTAGATATTCTGAAGTGACTATAGACACTGAAACCGGGACCACCTTAAAATAAACCAGAAAGAAGAAATCACTTACAAAAGAACCACAAGTAGGTGAATAGCTTTCTTAATATCAACAATGGAAACTAGAAAAGAGTTAATATCTTTAACATGTTAACCTCAAATCAGGAACACAGCAAAATTACCTTCCAACAACATCAACAAGGAATGATCTTTGTAAATAAAAACGGAGTACGTTTACCACCAAGAGACCTTCTCCAAGTGAATTTTAGGTACAATCATGGGAAACAAAACTGTTAAACCAAAACACTGGATAATAACTTGAGAGTTTAGAGATAAGAGATCAGGGTTAAAGTTTCCTAAGGTCCATCATATCATTAAGAGGAGGGTTTAGATACTAATATTAGATATTTTTAAGTTAAATATGATAAGTTCTGAGAGTAAAAGCATGGGTATAGAATATAACATCCTAACTGGTAGAGGGGAAAAGATCATGAAATAAGAAGGCAAACACATATTTAGTCAATTAAAGAACTGAGAGAGAAATGAAACATAGAGAAATCAAAGGAAGTGGAAAGCACAAAATAGGATAGCAGGGAAAAGTCCAATCATATAGAGTTAACATATGACAATGACAATAGACAAAAATAGACTTTAAAGCAGAAAAGCAGTCACTACAAATAAAAGGTTCAATTCATTAAGATGATATAACAATTGTATATTTGTTTTCATGTCATAAAATTGCTCAAAATACATAAGATGATAATTGATAAAATTTCCTGAAACAGTGTTACAATGGGAGATTTCAATAGTGCTCCCTCATTTGATAGGACATAGGGAAAAAAACACAAAATAAATATTTCTAGATGTTATAAAGAAGTTATCAAATATTCTATTTTTATAGTCTTCCTCTCACTTTTCTCTCTCTCAGTGTATGCACAGATTCTTAATCTTTTCAAGTCTTTAAGAGAAAGTATATAAAGCTGGTTTCATTTATTCAAACACTAGAAGTATCTACCATACCCTGAACACTATACTAGGCTCCTGGAAACAAAATAAATAACAGATACAGTTTCCACTTTCATGTTGCTTTTGTTTATACCCTTGGGCATTTTACTTAATCTTTTAGCTTATATTCATAAGAATACAGTTTTGGTGTGAAGATTAAATAAGATTATGTATGTAATGTACATATGGAGACTAAAAGAATAATAAATGGTAAGTATAAAATAGATTTTAAAATGTTATTTAAGTCTATTGTCAATCTTTATAATTTCATTGTAAATCACAGTGTGAGATACCACTGCAAATATAGGGAAGTAAGTTCACAAACTTATTTTCTAAAGCTAAAGCTAATATTAGGCCTTGCTATGGTAGAACTCTTCACTGGGTTCTTAAAAAAAAATAATTTCATGTAACTGACAGGAGGAATTGTCTCTATTCTTGCATTAATGACAAATGTAATCTACAAGATGGCCTTCATGGATTAGAAAAAGGAATCTGACCACAGGGAAAAAGAAATTACTGGTTTTCACTCAAGATTATCTAGAAAAGTGTATTTACTACTGGAATAATAGTTTACCCCTGGGTTGTACCACAGAATGAGAAATTCTACAAGATTATACAACTCTTTTTCCACAAGATTACACAGCTCTTACTGTTTCTATTCTATTCTGGAATTAGAAATTAACTTTCTAAATACCATTTTTTAACCTCCAAAAAAATCCTGTTACCAGCTAACCTGGAGATGGACAAAAATATCTTGATTACTGTAAAGTTCTACCTCCCTAGTAAAAATGAATAAATTGCCCTTAAGTTTGGTTATTGGAAATCACTATCAGCTATGGAACACCCAGATAAACTAACACAACCAGGTTCCTATATGCAAAACAAATATTCTAAACTGTTTCCATAGCGCAGCCACCGAGGGAAAAACAAGGACATTTAACTATTTTAGTCTAAACACTTCATTTACATATAAGGCAACTGTGGTCCCAAGTTTGTGATTTATTAACCTAGTTAACGGCAGAAGTTGCACTAAAACCTGGATCTTCTACTTAAAACGTTTCTTTTGGCTGGGCGCGGTGGCTCACGCCTGTAATCCCAGCACTTTGGGAGGCTGAGGCGGGTGGATCACCAGGTCAGAAGTCTGAGACCAGCCTGGCTAGCATGTGAAACCCCGTCTCTACTAAAAATACAAAAAATTAGCCGGGCATGGTGGCCTGGGCCTGTAATCCCAGCTACTTGGGAGGCTGAGTCAGCATTGCTTTAACCTGGGAGGGGGAGGTTGCAGTGAGCAGTGATCGCACCACTGCACTCCAGCCTGGGCGACAGGGCAAGACTCCGTTTCAAAAAAAAGTTTGTTTTGATTCTTTCATCATCAAGCATTAATTTGATATCCAAAGGCATATATTTGTATTTACTGTGCTTTAAACATTTGTCGGTGAGTCAATGCTTTAAATGGACATACTATGTGGTGACTCATTTTCAGAGTAAGAATTTGCAGAAAATGAGAAACAAACTTTCTTAATAATACAATTTTAATGCATACTAAGGCTGGTTAACTGGCTAGAATACTTAGAATACTAGCTTAACAAGGCCAAACTCTAGATAGGCCAATAGCTTTTCAAACCAACATTCCTGACACTGTCACATATCGGTTGGTTAAAGAAAACTCTTCACTACTGAGGGAGGGAAAGAAAACCTAGAAAAATAAACCATACTAAAAGAAAAAGGGTATTTTGTTTGTCACCTTAAAGCTCCTTTTTTTTTAAACGGTACATATATTTTCAATATTCTTACAAATGGGCCTTCTATTAACAAGCAAACTATTGCTAATTCCATGGCTTTGAGTACTTCCAATCACTTCCTCTATCCAGCAAATCCATGATACTACATGCCAGTTACCTTGCACATTTATAATTGTTTAATAAACTATTCAAAATTAGCATCTAAAATAATTATACTTTGGACACACGAAGGCATATATTTGGTGAGAACATTGTAATTTTCATTTTGTAAACTATATATTCTATACTCAAGTAATAATAACACAGCATTGCCTATACAGAACTGAGGCCTGGGCTGAGACCCAAAACTTGTCTTTTCCTAAATGCACCACTCCGAAGAGCTAATAAGAGATCTGTCCAGATGCTAAGACCAGGTACTTCGAAATCTCCATCCTGCGCTTTACAGGTCTCCAGGGCAGTTAGAACTTTATCTTTCAGAGGTGGAGGGGCCTGACAGAGGCTTTGAAACCTATTGTGCAACTCCTCCCAGGGCACGTCTTGGGACTCAGTTCCAACCCAAATGCCTTTCTGAAGGTCATAGCGCAAACGCTGACCCCAGTCTGTTAGCAGACCCAGATAGACAGGAGACAGCGCTGGGTGGCGGCTAGTCACTAAAGTCAAAAGCCCGGCTGGGAGGGCGCGACAAAAGGCAGCAAAGACTTCCGAATTCCCCAGAAGCCAGTGGACTAGCGCTTGGCTCCCCTCTCCAGGTGTTTTATGGATGCTGGGTTCCGACTCTTCTTGGGGCCGGGGAGACAAAGGCGACTGCAACAGCGCCACCGCTATCACCTTCAGGAAGTTGTTCTGAGGCAAACGCTCCCACAGGCTGCTGAGAAATCTGGCGGGACCCTCCGCTTCGGCCTTCCCCACCTCCTGCAGACGCTCCAGCAGCAGATCCGCCTGGGTCTGCATCAGAGAGTCCTCCTGGAGATTCAGGTTCTTTCTATAGCCGTTGAAGCGCAGCATGTGCACCGCGGACCCGCAGCGGGCGAGGCGGACCAGGCTCTCCTGGAGCGTCTCCTCATCAGCCTCCGGGACGCCCGGGCCCGGAAAGAGTTGCTGCACCAGGTGGTGACGAGCTGCATCCCCGAGGGCCTGGTTCTCCAGCAGGCGCAGAGAGAGCAGGACATCACAGTGACCGAGGGCCTGGAAGTTCGCCAATCCCGGAACTGGACCCCGCCCAAAGCCGCCCTCTTGCCGCCACTGGTTGTGCAGCCGCCGCTCCAGAGCCGTGCGAATGGGGCCGTGCCGACCAAAGCGCCGATGGATGTGGCGCAGGTAGCGCGCCCACTGCAGGGCCCGGCGCACAGTGACGGGGTCCCAGGTGCGGACGTGGGCAGTGCGTGAGACCGCCAGAAGCTCGGAAAAGCGATCCAGGTGCTGCAGGAGGGATTCCATGAGGTGCGCGAAGGCCCTACTTCCGCTTTCACCTTGGAGACAGCGACTCTCTGTGTACTGATTGGGACATCCGTGAAATGATACGCCTTTCTGCAATGCTATTGGTCGAAATGCATGTCAATCTCCTGGCGTCTTTATCCGTGTTCCTCGACTGGGCAACTTAAAAGCCTTAATACTTTTACTTTCGCCATACAAAGAGGTTCTTCTTAGTGGAGGGAGAGCAGATGTAGGGCATCCTACCGAGAATTTCCGGAGCCCATATGCGAGATGATGCCAGTCATGAACGTCTCCGCGCTTCCTTTCGCTTTGGAAATATCCTTAAGTAGAACTTTTCTGAGCTTTGCCTAAAACTAGAATCTGTGTTGAGGTTTTTCAAAATTAAGTAACGCCAGAGACATACCGTGACGTGAGGAAACGCTCTTAAATGAAATTTTAAGATCTATTTGAGAAACATGTACTAAAAATGTACTGACGTCCTATTAATGCCAGGCGCTATGCTAAATTCTAGGCCTTCACATTGTCCTTTCGTTATTAGAACTGAAGCCCTGATTATTTGAAACAAAAAAAACTTTAATAATTTATTAAAATTTGCAAAGGAACAAAATTTTACTTCACAATTGTACATTTCGTTTTCGTAATTTTTGGGACAAAATAGCTTAATTGACTCTTCTGTCACACAAATAATCAGCTGAAGGAAATGGCATTTAAGAGCATCGAACAATAATAAATGTTTGATTAAATAAAAACTGTGAGAAGAGAGTAGGGAGGAGAAGGTCCTATGTCGCTCATTGATGCACTTAACAAACATTTGTCAACTCCTAGGAGTTACATTGTGTACCAAATGCACAATTCTTACTAAAGTTGATAATATAGTAATTCGTTTGAGCTGAATTTCTTTCCAGTCCTACAGACAGTCAAAACTATTCGAAAAAGTGGGGGCAAGGTGTTTTGTTTTGTACTTTAACAAAAAGGGGAAGAGAAATTTAAGAGGGGAAAAATCATTTTTCATTTATTAAAATAAGCATTCCTACACATTTTAGAAAGTAAAGCAGTCATGTGCATGCTGTTAATTCAAATTTATGCATTTATTTATTTAGTTTGAAAGGGAGTCTCATTCTGTCGCCCAGGTGCGGCCAATTTTTGTATTTTTAGTAGAGAGGGGATTTCACCTTGTTGGCCAGGCTGGTCTCGAACTCCTGACCTCAAGTGATCCTCCCGCCTCGGCCTTCCAAAGTGCTGGGATTCCAGGCGTGTGCCACCGCGCTCGGCTATTATTTGATTTTTATTAGTTATCTCAAACTCGTATTTGGTCCTGAAATGGTGGTTTTATTTTATCCTAAGGATACTACGAATCTTAAAATTATTTTTGTTGGCTACTAGAAACTTAGAACCAAATGTGCAGCCTGCCTTTAGCAAATGTACCGGCATCACTAATTCATTTATTTATTCTTATATTGAACACCTATTATGATACATAGTATGAGGTGCTACAGATGTAGTAGTTAAATAAATGCAGTCCTAGCATGAGTGGAAGAGTTCATGTTGTACCGTTTAAGAGAGACATTAAATGAATAACCTCAAATGTGTAGGAGGATGAAATTGAGTAGGGTCACCAAGTCTTAGGTGATAGGAAGGTCTCTTTAATTACTGACTTTTCAGGCTGGGGACAGTGGCTTACGCCTGTAATCCCAGCACTTTGGAGAGCCAAGCCGAGGCAGGTGGATCACCTGAGGTCAGGAGTTCGAGACCAGCCTGGCCAGCATGACAAAACTCTGTCTTTACTAGGGGGGAAAAAAAAATTAACTGGGCATGGCGGTGCACACTTGTGACCCTAGCAAATCGGGAGGTTGAGGCAGGAGAATAGTTTGAACCCAGGAGGTGGAGGTTACGGTGAGCCGAGATCGGGCCACTGCACTCCAGCCTGGGCGACAGTGCAAGACTCCCTCTCAAAAAAAAAAAAAAAAAAAAAAAAAAAGAGTGGGGGGGGGGAAGAAAAGAAATGGACTTTTCAGTTGAAAGTTCAAAGCTGAGTGTTGAGAGGAGCCTTCAAGGCTACAGAAATCCTTAATTTTTTTTTGCAGGTATCTGAGTTGAAAGAACCAGGCCTATTTAAGGAGGTGGAAAAAATCTAAAAAAGCTTTGATTCAAAATGGGGATGACAGTGTATGGCAAGAATTACACAGATTAACTTTAGCTTCATACCTTTCTACTTATGTGTTTAAATTTTGATTTTAAATTCTTCCTTGAGCATAGTAATGTATAAACTCCTACATATTTCAGGTTAGTCTATTTTCATTAACTGAAATGTCTATGAAGTTCTCCCTTGTAGCAGAAAGAAAAGCCTAGGATTTTAACCTATATTCTTGAGGCAGGGTGGGTAGGGATACAAAAAATTATAATGCAAAGCAGATTTTATATATTTTGAAAATTTTAAGAATGTTGCTATGAAAGACTAGATATAAACTGACAGGAGAGTTCTCGCAAGACTACAGAGGACTGATACTTGATTTAGGCCTCGAAGTATTTGAACAATCATGGGACAGAAGAAAATCCAAGTGAGAGAAATAATATAAGGTAAAATATATGAGAACACAAATGTGTGTACTGTGTGCCATGAATACCAGGAACAGTCTCCCTCCTTTTGGTTTTGATCCCCAAATTCCTTGAATACAGTAAATTGGGGGGAAAAAAGGCCAAATTTCGGCAGATTTTATTTTTATTTATTTATTTTGATTTTTTCTATTTGGTGAAGTTTTCAAATATTGTAGCTCATAAAATTTTTTTGTCCTCTTTTCATTACTTTAACAGACTTTTTTCTTTTTTTGTTTATTTTTATTTCAATAGCTTTAAGGGTACAAGTGTGGATTTTGGTTACTTGGTGGAATTTTATTGTGGTGAAGCCTGAGATTTTAGTGTACCCTTTAACTGAGTAGTGTATGTTGTACCCAACATGTAGATTTTCATCCCTCACCCCATCCCACCTCCCCTGCTTCCAGGTTTCCAGTGTCCATTATACCACTCTGTCTGCCTTTGCATACCCACAGCTTAGCTCCCACTTACAAGTGAGAACATGCAGTGTTAGATTTCCATTCCTGAGTTACTTCACTTAGAATAATGGCCTCCAGTTCCATCCAAGTGGCTGCAAAATATATTATTTCATTCTTTTTATAGCTGAGTAGTATTCCATGCTATGTGTATGTGTGTGTGTATGTGTGTGTGTGTGTATATATATGACTTTTTGTATCCACTTTTCAGTTGTTGGGCCCTTATATTGGTTCTGTATCTTTGCAATTGTGAATTGTGCTGTGATAAACATATACATGCAAGTGTCTTTCTGATATAATGACTTATTTTCTTTGGGGTAGATACTCAGTAGTGGGATTGCTGGATCAAATGTAGCTCTACATTTAGTTCCATACTGTTTTCCATAGAGGTTGTACTGGTTTGCATTCCCACAAACAGTGTATAAGCATTCCCTTTTCACCACATCCATGCCAACATCTATTTTTTGACTTTTTAATAATGACCATTCTGGCTGGAGTAAGGTAGTATCCTTTTCCATAGAGGTTGTACTGGTTTGCATTGCCACCAACAGTGTATAAGCATTCCGTTTTCACCACATCCGTGACAACATCTATTGTTCTTCGACTTTTTAATAATGACCATTCTGGCTAGGGTAAGGTGGTATCCCATTGTGGTTTTAATTTGCATTTCCCTGATAATTAGTGAAGTTGAGTACTTTTTCATACATTTGTTGGCCATTTCTGTATCTTCTCTTGAGAAATGTGTATTCATGTCATTTGCTCACTTCTTAATGGGATTATTTTTTTTCTTGCTGATTTGAGTTCCTTATAGATTCTAGATATTTGTCCTTTATCTGATGTATATTTTGCAAATATTTTCTCCCATTCTGGGAGTTGTCTGTTTGCTCTGATGACTATTTCATTCGCTGTGCAGAAGCTTTTTAGTTTAATTAGGTCCCACTTATTTTTCTTTTTGTTGCATTTGCTTTTGGGGTCTTAGTCATGAGTCTTTGTCTTGGTCAGTGTCCAGAAGAGTTTTTCCTAAGTTTTCTTCTAGAATTTTTGTGGTTTCAGCTCTTAAATTTATGTCTTTAATACATCTTGAGTTGATTTTTCTTAAATGATGAGATATAGGGATCCAGTTTCATTTTTCTACACAGGGCTATCCACTTTTCCCCACACCATTTATTAAATAAGGTGACCTTTTCCCAATTTATGTTTTTGTATGTTTTGTCGAAGCTCAGCTGGTTGTAAGTATTTGGCTTTATTTCTGAGTTCTCTATTCTCTTCCATTGGTCTGTATATCTACTTTTATACCAGTGTCATGCTGCTTTGCTTACTACAGCCTTGTAGAATTTGACGTCAAGTAATGTGATGCCTCTAGATTTGTTCTTTTTGCTTAGGATTGCTTTGGCTGTTCAGGCTGGTTTTTGGTTCCATATGAATTTTATGATTACTTTTTCTAATTCTGTGAAAGATAATGTTAGTAGTTTGATAAGAATTGCATTGAATCTGTGTATTGCTTTGGGCAGTATGGTCATTATCATAATATTGATTCTTCCAGGCCATGAGCATGAGGTGTATTTCCATTTTTCGGTGTCATCTGTGGTATCTTTCAGCAGTGTTTTGTAGTTCTCCTTGTAGAGATCTTTCCTCTCCTTTGTTAAGTAAATTCCTAGGTGTTTTATTTGTCTGCAGCTACTGTAAAAGGGATTGAGTTCTTGATTTTGTTCTCAGCTTGGACACTATTGGTATAAAGCAGTGTACATTACTTTGGTAACCTGAGACTTTACTAAATTCATTTATCAAATCTAAGAGTCTTTTGGAGAAGTTGTTGGGGTTTCCTAGGTATATTATCACATCATCAGCAAACCGAGATAGTTTGACTCCTTTTTTTCCAATTTGGGTGACCTTTATTTATTATTTCTCTTGATTGAGTGCTCTGCCTGGGACTTCCAATGCTGTGTTGATTAGAAGTGATGAAAGTGGACATCTTTGTTTCGTTCCAATTCTTAGGGAGAATGCTTCAACATAAATGTTGGCTTTGGGTTTGTTATGTATGGCTTTTATTATTTTGAGGTGTGTTTCTTCTATGCCTAGTTTGTTGAGAGTTATGTCATAAAGAGATGCTGGATTTTAATGATTACTTTATCTGCATTTATTGAGATAATCATGTTGCTATTATTTTAATTCTGTTTGTGTGATGAACCACATTTTTTGACTTACATATGTTGAGTCATTGATTCATCCCTGGGATGAATACCACTTGATCATGATGAATTATCTTTTTGATGTGCTATTGGATTCAGCTTGCTAGTATTTTGTTGAATATTTTTGCATCTATGTTCATCAGAGATATTGGTCTGTAATTTTCCTTTTTGTTATGTCTTTTCCTGGCTTTGGTTTCAGGGTGATACTGTCTTCATATGAAATAGGGAGGATTCCCTCTTTCTCAATCTTTTGCAATAGTTTCAGTAGGATTGTTACCAATTCTTTGAATGTCTGATAAAATTTGGCTGTGAATCCATCTGGCCCTGGACTTTTTGTGTGTGTGTGTGTGTGTGACAAATTTTGTATTACTGATTCAATCTTACTGCTTGTGACTGGCTTATTCAGTATTTTTATGTCTTTATGATTCAAGCTAGGAGGGTTGTGTGTTTCCAGAAATGTATTCATTTTCTCTAGATTTTCTAGTTTGTTTGCAAAGAGGTGTTCTTAGTAGTCTTGAAAGATATTTTGTATTTCTTTGGGGTTGGTTGTAACATCTCCATTTTCATTTCTAATTTAGCTTATTTGGATCTTCTCTCTTCTTTTCTTGGTTAAACTAGCCAATAGTCAGACAGTGACAAATTCCCTTAGCATTTTCTTGTCTGAGAAACAGTTTATTTTTCCTTCATTTATGAAACTTAGGTTTACTGGTTACAAAATTGTTGGCTGATAGTTATTCTGTTTAAGGAGGCTAAAATAGGACCATAGCCCTTTCTGGCTTATAAGGCTTCTGCTGAGAAGTCGGTTGTTAGTCTAAAAGGTTTTACCTTATAGGTTACCTGATGCTTTTTTCATACTGCTCTCGGAATTCTTTTCTTCACATTGACTTTAGATATCCTGATGACTTTAGGTCTTGGTGT